CCCCCGCCCCCCCCCCCCCCCCCTCTTCTCTTTTCTGCTTTTATTCCTGTCGCTTGCCATCGACAACAAACCGAAAACCACGTGCAGCGAGAAGCCCGAGCGCTGTGCTTGGAGCTCCTGCTGCGCAGCAAGGGCGACGAGGAGGTGATGAAGGCGTTCGTGGAGAGGAGGGGGCTTATGTTCATCAAGGGGTGGCTGGCGGAGGAGACAAAGTCCATCAACATGATGAAGCTTCTGCTCACTGTGGCGAAGGTGTATTGTGTGTGTGTGTGTTTTTTTATTATTAGCATCGACCGCCCTAACCGGCTGACCAATGAAAAGACGTCAGTGCCAGCGGGTGTGTGTGTTTTCTTTTCAACACTGGCGGTGTCGAGTTTCATGAGTGCTAACTGGTGTTTTTTTGGGGGTCTGTGGTGTGGTGCGATGGTGTGATGTGACTAACGCTAACACCGGTTGTTGAAGGCCATCGTTCGTTGTCCTGTGTTCCTTGTTTGGCGTTGAAACCGTGGCGACTTCTACCCAACCCCCTCCTTCTTCCCGAGCTCCTTTTCCCGGCATTCCGAGAAGGGACGAACAAACGTCAGGGTCATGGAGCCCGCGGTATCTGCCCTCGTAACATTTTCAAGTCTGTAACCGCAGCTGCTGAACGTTTTGGTGGGCAATTGGTCTTGGAGCTTGAGAAGGGTTTCGGAACTGTTTAAATGGTCGCCGCTACGGCAGCGTAGCGCTCTCTATCAGGGAGTTGCATTGCAAGAGAAGGTGGACAATCCAGTAGGTGGTGGGCGAGACACTCGTATTGTAAACCTGTCGATTTTGAACTAGGAAGGTCTAAGGGTTTGCGTTTTTTTTCTTAACTTGGCCCTTTGTGCGTTTCACTGAATTAGGCCCCCCTGCGAGTGTAGCGGCAGCTCCCAATCATCTCGTCTGATATCGCTCCTGCCCAGGGCTGATGCTAGCCCGCCGAAGTAGGGCATGCTATATACGTCCCAGTCTCTTTCGTTTTTTCGGGATGGAATGGGTTACTCATCGGCACGATATGGTACTCGGCTGCACTATTCATGACTTTATCTGGATACTGAATACCCCCCCCCCCCNCCCCCCCGCGCGCGCGCGCGACGTCGCGCTCTTCTATACACAGGTTCTGCCTGTCACCTACTCAAGCCTAATGCAGTCCGACGCGGGGAAGGCATTGAAAGCACTCAACAAGCACGCCGACTCCGACATACGGAAGCAGGCGAAGGCAGTCATCTCCCACTGGAGGACGGCTTTGGTGGTGANTCCCTCTTTTTGGTATGTTTGGGGGAATAGATCGGCTAGAGCGGCCCTTGTTGATCGAGGAGGAGCGGGGGCACATGGGATAGGATCGGGAGGGGGAGGAGCCTCGTACATGTTTCTCGTCTCTTGTGTGCACCTAGATCGTGTTGGTGTTTACCCTTACAGTATCGGCGAGAAACGAGGACAAAACAACACACGGTACGGCCTTGGTTTCGTAGGACAAGGGGAACAAGAGATCCTGGCGTACTCGATGTGCATGTGTCTACTACTTTTTTGTTTCCACATGGGTGGCTCGGCGGCGGGTTTGTGTCGCGGGGGGGGTCGTGGCCAAGCTTGTGGTGGTCTGAACGCAGGGGTATATGTTTGTCCCTGGGTAACAAACACCGCCGGGGCGAGTGCTTGCGCATTAAATGTCGACGGGACTGGCATGGTGTTGAACTAGCGAAGGGCGACGAATGAGTCCCTGGCGCTGTAAACCGTTGCATTCGAATCGGGAACATTTGTCATGCGGTATTGCCAAGCGGAAATGCGTCAAGGTGGACGTAACCCCTGCCTGGCCTACGTTTCCGTGCCGCGGGTGGCACTACCCTTGGTGATGTCTCCAGCGTAGGTCTCGGTTCCAAAGAGTAGTTGCGGTACATGCACGTATGCTTCGAGCGCTCTACTCGTGATGCTGTCACTTGTTGGTTGTTCGATGGAAATTGTTGGGCCCCGCGGCTGAAGTGTAATTGTCGCCGATTTCTGTGGTTTGTGTGTCCTCCCCTGCACCTGTTCCCCCGCTCCTTTTGTTTGTTGATGGAAGAGCGACAAGGGCGAGATCGCCAAGCATCGGAAGCAGCTCGATGATCTGCACGATAAGCTGAAAGCGGTGAGTAATCTTTTGTCCATTGCTTTCCAATAGCCCGCGGCATCGTTTGTCCGTTGCTCTCGGATGCTGTCATATTGGTACTTGTGTACGTAGGAAACCGCCTAGACACATGTAATTCCTCGATCTTGTTATCCTTCTGGCTTTCCATCCCGCGCACCCCCGAACTCCTCTGTGTCTAGATTCTTCTCGCTCGCCATCCCTTAAACCCCCACCTCTCGTCCTCCCTCCACGCGGTCTGGTTCAAACAGAAGCAGGATGCCGAGAAGAAGGCCAAGGCGGAGTTGGCGGACGCCGAGAAGCGGCGGCGAGACCTGGCCCGGGCGCAGAGCAGGCCCCCTAACGGCGTCGGAGGCTCCCCAATCACGGCACCTCCCCCCACGGTCCTTTACACGCGCGCCTCCTCTTCGAACTCCATGGATTCCGACGCAGCAGGGGGGGGTAGTAGTAGTAATAGCACTCCAGCAGCGAAGGGGGTCTCCGCGGCGTCGAAGCCGGGCAGGGACCCCCCAGCCGCCGCTGCTGACAGCAGCGGCGCACCAGGGACCGGGAGCAAGTCGAAGAGCGCGGCGGCGGCGGCGGCTGGCGTTGGGTCTCCCGCAGGTGCCGGTGCTTCCGAGACAGGTGCCGCTGCCGGGGCCGCGGCGGGCGGGGCCGCAAGGTACTTTGTCGGCAGGAAGTTGGCCGGCAGGGGGCCTGGTGGCAGAGTAAGGCGGCCTACGGTGGCGTTCAGCGGCACGCCCGCGGGGCAAGGGACGGGCAAGGGCGACAGGGGTGGAGCTCCTGCTGCTGGGCCTGGAGGGGCGGGTTCAGCGGGACGAGGAGACGCCGCCGGCGGTAGCGGCGGAATCTTGAAGGTCACCGCTGTATCGACGGCGGCGACAGCGGGAGGCCAAGACGGAACCGCAGCCGGCGGAGCCGCCGCCACCGATGGTGCAGGAGCGAGCGCGGCGGCAGTAGGGGGGGCGGAGGGTGAGTCGGTGGGGGCGGAGGGATCGTCGTTGTCGGGGGCTACGGCGGCGTCGGCACCGGCCGCTTCGAGGTCAGCGGGCATCGGCTCGGGACCGCCGCCGATCGTGTCTTTGGACGAGATGGCACGGGCGGAGTCGGAGGAAAAGAAGCGGCTTCGGAAGGCCAAGCCCGCCGGGAAGAAGGTCGGGTGGGCGGACCGGGCGGGACGAACTCTCCAGGTGGGTTGAGGACCATTGGCCTCCTGGGCGTGTGGATGTGTGTGGGTGGGAGCGATTGGTGAAGCTCGTAAGTATTTTGGAAGGAAAGCGTTGAAAGGGCGACGTTTGATGTTGATGAATCACCCGGGGACCAGTGGTAGGGCAGGCGGACCGAGCTAGACGAACGCTTCAGGTGAAGCTCTTTCTGTATTTGAAAGCACAAACCGTGTTAAGGGCAACGTCTGATGTTGCATCAAGGGTGTGCGCAAGCGGTTGGCGAATACCCCTGTGCATCTGGGAGCAGAGTGTCAAGGACATTTGATGTTGAATCACCCGCTCCACAAGACTCTTCTTTTGAGGGTACACCAGGTGGAGTTTCTCGTCGCGACATAAGAGATCATGAATGATCATACAAAGATACAACGAGCGTCGCGTGAGCAAGGTGCTATTTAGTGTGGGATAAGCCGTACATGAGTGGGTTTGTATTTCAATACTCCGGCCCAAAGAATATAATGCCGCATTTGTTCATTAAAGCTTTCTGGACGACTTGTGACCAGGGGACGACCGGTGTCTTGAAACGTCACTGCGGGGCGGGGAGTTCGTTTCCTCTCCCGTACACGTTGTACTGGGGTACTGTGATGGTGGTGGCCGTCGTGTGCACCTGCGTTCTTCTTGCCTCTTGTGTCCGATCCACCCACAGGCTCGCTGGCGATGCGTGTTTTTTGCTGGCGTGTAGTTTTTTTTCTTTTTTTTCCTTTCAGACCAAAACAAAGTTGCTTGTATCCACATGGATCACGCGTCCAGGATAAGGTTGGCAATTATTGACCTACCTTGTTGCCTGTGGTTCGCTGATTCCCGAGCAGCTTACAGCGATATAAATCTGTTTTGATTCACCAAATCGCCACCGTTTTTCGTCGGTTTGTCGACTGCTGGTGTGTTCCTGCCGATACCCGAGCTGCTCACGCAGTGGCTTTAAAATCTGTTTTGGTTCACACGTACCAGGGACTGCCACGTATGTTTCCTGCCTTTCAATCACTGCTGTTGCTTTGCTTGGGGCAGGGTGCAGGTTATGTACATATCGGGTTTTGGTTCACACTTACCGTACGACTTATTTATTTTACCTGTCTTTCAATCACTGGTCTTGCTGAGCTTGGGGGGTGGGTGCAGTTTGTGTACATATCGGGTTTTGGTTCACCACGTACAACTTTTTTGTTTTACTTGCATTTTGAATCACACTGCTGTTGCTGCGCATGACGGCGTGGCGCAGGTGGTAAAGGAATTCCACTCGGAGGACGCGGCCACCGCTGTCTCGGAGACGCCGCAGGAGTCCGACTCGGTCGTGGCGGCCACCATGGCAAGCCACCACGCCGGACACAGGCACTGGGCGGAGCGCGTGAAGCGCGAGCGGGAGATGGAGCGCAAGTTCCACGGGAAGAGCGGCGGCCGCAGCAAGGGCAAGTCGGACCACGGCAGGGCTAGCGCTGGGGACGAGGAGGAAGAGGAAGCGGGGGAGGTAGCGGACGCGGAAGCATCGACGGCGGCGGCAGCGGCGGCGGGCAGGAAGAAGAGGAAGCCGATGGTCACCGCCGTACCGTGGAGAAGGCCGGGCCCGTACGAGAAGGGCGTGGTGCACGAGGACGTGCTGCAGCTGGAGGTAGAGTCGAGCGAGGCCGAGAGCCAGGGGGCGAGAACCAGGGCCGGGCTGGAGCAGGTGTACCTGTCGAGCGGGGACATCCCGTCCACGCCGGCGGAGCCGGACGCCGCTTCGTTCCTTCCAGTCGGTGCGCACGAAACTTGCTCTCTCTCTCTTGTGTGTGTGTGTGTGTGTGTGTGTGTGTGTGTGTGTGTGTGTTTTTATTGTTAGCATCGACCGCGCTAACCGGCTGACCAATTAAAAGACGTCAGTGCCAGCGGGTAAAAATCAAGGTCCCTGGAAGGGGGGGGAAGGGGGCCAAAATTCGAAAAATGCGCAATGCGCTTGATGCGAATGCCAATACGACTCTCTCCACATGTTCTTTCACGTAGACACACATCTCAGCTACACAAATGC